AGATGGCTATATAGAATTACTCCACACAAAGAGTTGCTTATATCCTAACATTATTATTCTTACTTTTGAAAATGCAAATAGATAGAGGTTTTGCTGATTTACCTATATTTAGATTATGTATTCAAATTAAAGCTATTACAATAAGAAAGACATTGATTTGTTATGCATAATTTAGCAATATTCATTCTCCTTCATATTAATTTTTTTTTATTATGGTGTTTTATTGTACATAAACAGTCTTGAATGCACGAAACATTTATATCATCTCATAAACTTTGAATGTTGTATTTGAATATTAATTATAAATTTATTTCAGTCCAGAAAATACTCCTGATTTTGAAATAAAAAAATTGAGAGTTACTATGGTTTCATGGACATGCAATGACAATTGGGTTGTGACAGCAACAAATGATTTAACGGTAATTTTAAATATAGCTAGCATTTGTATCTGTCTGTATGTTTACACTACATGCGTTCACTAAGATAAGATAAAAACAATAAGATTCAGTCTGAAAATTGCTAATGCATTTATTCAAAATACTCTTATGCGAGGTTGTTACTACATTGTGCACAATTCAAAAGCATTTTGAAGAAGTGGTGAAGGTCATTAAAGGGAATTTACATCTGAATGCTGCCATTAGGTTTAAAGATGGCCAAATTGGTGGAAGTCATAATAGCATATATAAAGAGTGGGGTTGGATTTTTTTTTTAATTAAATAATCAATATAAATCTTGTTTAATTAAAACACATATGAACTGGCGACATTGCCGTACTTTTACTTAAGATGTGCTAACTTAGGTTTTGTTGTAACACTTTTAGTTGATAGTCAATATAAATTGCATGAATGATTTGAGATTGAATATGTATACACCACTCCATGATATATATAAATATATATGTGTGTGTGTGTGTGCGTGTGTTTGTGTTTGTATATACATAAACAATTTTTCTTTTAATTGGTTTAATTTTAATTGCAGGTAAAAGTATGGAATACAACAACAGCAAAACTAACGAAAATATTAAAAGGCCATAAAGATGTGATATATGTGTTAGAATCTCATCCAAAAGATGAAAATATTATGTTAACTGCTGGTCATGATGGGCGATTATTTGTATGGGATATTTATACAGGCGTAAGTACAAGTGAATGAATGAATTAAATCAATTTTATATTCATTTTATTATTTTTTTTAGTCTTATATGGCTGAATTTCAAGATGCAATTGGTCAAGGGTTTGGATCTATTTTTGATGCCAAATGGTCTAAAGATGGTACAATGTTTGCTGCCACTGATTCCCATGGTCAAATTCTACTTTTTGGGTTTGGAACTGGTCATCCATTATTGAAAGTAGTAAGAATGATTCATTCTAATTTTAGCATTTGTTATAAGAGCAAAATTTTACTTTGAATGGCTGTTTCTTTTTATTCAGTTGCCGAAAGAACTATTTTTTCACACGGATTATAGACCATTAATAAGGGACACCAATAATTATGTGCTGGATGAGCAAACTCAAACAGCACCCCATTTGATGCCTCCTCCCTTTTTAGTGGATAGTGATGGAAATCCTCATCCGCCTGCACTACAAAGGTTAGTGCCAGGCAGAGAACACTGTCCTAGTGAACAGCTCATTCCAAACATAGCTGTAGGAGATGGAGGTATGTGAGGTTCTGCAATAATCTTTATTTAGTAATTACACATAATTTTTATTTTCTTACTTTGTGGTACCAAAGTAAGGTAACTCTTTTTGTCTTTGCCACTACCATTAATAAATCTTGCTCAAAATAATTAAACTTTAAATCATTTTGAAAATTACAGTGTATTCTATTAGTTGGAATTTTACCACATTAGTTGGAGTTTTACCAAGTTTTTGATGAACCCATAAATTAAATTTAATTAATTAATTAAGCAAACTAATTAATTTAGAATATTATTACTAATTTTTGAAAGATAAGCATTCATATTGTATATTGTGGCATATCAATATTATTCTTTGGAATATTATCATTATTTTGTAATACAATTATTAAATAATTTATAGTACACAATTATTTAAAAAAATATTACTAAAAAGCTTTCAAAGTTTATACATTTTTTTAAAATATTTCTTTATTACAGGTGTTCTACAAGTAATTGAGGGTATTCCTAACAATGTAGTATCGCGTTTTGGCATTGACTCATTGATTAGAGCTAGAGTAAGAAGATTAGGTGTACCAGAACCGAATAATCAAAATCAAGAGAATGATGATTCTGGTGGAAGCAATTCAGATGATAATGCTGCTGTATGATACATAATTATGTTGCTTTTTCCTTCATAAAATCGTATTCAATATGATTTAATTTGTTTTATATATAAATCAAAAAGTTGTAATATTAGTATGTAGTGAACATATGTTTACTACAATGATGCTATTCTTTAAATAATTAGGATTATCATGTATTTTATAATTTATCAACACTATTGTTTGTTCTGCATGCATTTAACATTGTGAATTCTTCATTATTTCACTATAAATTTGTTTTTTTTTGTGCAAGTTAGATATGTATAATTTCCAATCTTTATAATATAATCAAAGTTGTTGCAGGTAGGACAGCGTCAGGCAACTAGTTCGCCGAGGGCGGCGCACGCATTCAACGGAGGCCAGCGCTCGGTCGCGCGTCGGCCAGGTGCAGATGTTCAGAGAGTTCGCAACAGTGTCGGTAACTGGCAACGCGACGGCTCTTATGTATTTGAAAGGCACAATGTTATGCGCCCTATTAAACCCAGTCTACTTCGAGCAATTACTGATAAAGTGTAAGAAATTTATTTTTATTACATTTTCAAAATAGTTTTTTTTTTCTTATAATAACTTTACATAAATGTTATTATTCATAAATCAACAACATTTATTTTATTATTTGCGTGGTTGTTTTTTTTTTAAACTTTAAGGTGATTTTTACGATTACGCCAGAATGCCCAATTTGCTAATTTTATCTCTTATCACATTATCTCAATTTTTCATGTTTGTATGATTCGGTTTGTTATTCTGAATCGATTAATTTTTTTTTTATTATTAATAACGATCAGAACATTAATTATATTTTGAGTTATATTTTATTAACTTCCCAAAGGAGAAGTTTGTTTTCATAAAAAATCCGATTCGCTAATTTTACGTTTTCTCGACGTTTAGAGCCATTCTGAATCGAATGAGACCAAATTTGGAAAAAGTATGTGTGTGTGTGTGTGTGTATGTCAATAGATTTTTTGCCGTAAATCGACGTTTTCTCGAAAACGGCTGGACCGATTTCAAAAATTCAAAAGCCATTCGATGTATCTCGATGAGGACTATCGTTTGTCAGTTTTGCACGACGATCGGCCTGGCCGTTTCTTTGTAAATAGCAGAAAAGTGAAAAAGTTTTCGTCCACGTTTTAGCCAGCAATTCTCAATCGATTTTGAAAATTCAAAAACTGTTCGAAAGATATTGGTTGGGAATCTTGCTGATTACTTTTTGGTAAAGATCGGCCGGGCCTTTTTCTTGTAATAAAGTGTTAACATTTTTTTTTCGACGATTTTTATGATTTTTTTTTTTTGACGGTAGATATCATAGTCTTATAGATTATAATAAAATATTACGTCCCTACTACAAGTCGTTTAATTTTAATTCAATCGTCAGTTTTGTTGACGATCTACAGAGCCATTTCTTTGTATTATGGAAAACGTGTTAAACTTTTCGTCCACATTTAAGCTCACTACCGAATCGATTTTAATAAATCAAAAACTGTTCGAAAGATATTAGTTGGGAATGATGCTGATTAGTTTTAAGTGAAAATCTACTGAACCGTTTTCTTGTAATTAACTGTAGAAAAAAAAATTTAAGCCGATTTTTATGGAACTTTTTTAGCGATATATATCATGGTCTTATAGAAGTTACTGAAATATTACGGCCTTACGACAAGTAATTTAATTTTAAAAATTTATCAAAGTTTGAGAAAATGAGTAGTTTTTTTGACGTTAGCTAAAATTAAAATTAGTATATTTACTTGGTACAACAATAGAGTACTTGGTCTTAATGAACATACTAAACCATTAAAGTCCTATGCAAACTGGTTCAAATGTAAAAATTGTTGATTTTTAAAAATTTGCTTTTAGAAAATACTCCAAGTTAACATGTTCGTTCTATTTCAATTAATTCACTCGGAATACTTTTAATCACTCATAAATTAATTTATTTTTTATTGATTAAGTCGATTATTTACAAATATCGTGAAGTTCATGTAACTTGCCTCAAGTCAAAATACCAATACCAACTGGTTTACATTAATTAAATATAATTATAGGTTGTAGTTACCCCGACCGGTAATTACTATTAGATTTAATTTATTGGATCAAGTTAATAGGCCATAATTTTTTCAAGTCTTCCTAATTGTGGAGTAAGGGGCAGCGGAGCAATGAGTGATTTGGGGTGATTTTCTAATTTTTGATGATGATTAGTGAATTTTGTTTTTATAAAGTCTTTATATAGCACATTCAGATCATCATGCAGAGTTTTACTGCTTGCGTACTAGGGTGCACCTATCATCATTCTAAGTAGTCTTGATTTGGTCTCTGCTGTACCAGTGCTACATTAGATTTGCTAGAGCAGTCCTAAGGCTCTATTCCGTATAACCAGATAGGAATTATCATTTCATAAACCAGGATTTAGTATTTGAGTGTTAATTTAAAATTATGTCCGATAATCCAATGAAGTTCCGTAATTCTAGATTTGATAGTTTTGATTTTTGTTGTAGTGTGGTGTTTCCATGTTAGTCCGTGATCTAGATGTACACCCTGGTATTTAACATAGTCAGCACTTAGTATTATCTGGTAAAAAAAATGCACTCCTGGGCATCATTCTGAATCGAATGAGACCAAATTGTGTCATCTTTGATCAAAAAGTGTGTGTCTGTGTATTTGTATATAAGCCAATTTTTGACCTTTTGTCGACGTTTTCTCGAAAAAGGCTGGACGGATTACGAAAATTATAAAATCCATTCAATGCAACTCATAAGGACTAGCATTAATTAGTTTTGCGCGACAGTCGGCCGAGTTGTGTCTTTATGATTACCAGAAGTGTAAAATTTTTCGTCAACAAATCTGAATGGATTTTAAAAATTAAAAAACTGTTCGAAAAATATTGGTTGGGAATCATGCTGATTAGTTTTTGGTAAAAATCTGCCCGGCCAATTTTTCGTAATTATGTATTGAAAACTTTTCTTACGATTTTGTATGACGATAGATATTGTAGTCTGAAATAACATACTAAAATGATACCAATGATGGCATACAATAGGCGGTTGAAGCTGAAGAGGCATATCGGTTTCGTTGTATCTACATACTGATTAAAGTTGACGTTAACACTTAAATAAAAAAAAATCATTTTCAGAAAACGAAATAGATGAAATGAAACCGCCTCCGCTCTTTTCTTATATCTTGTTTTTTTTTTTGGACCCCGCCTTTAGGGGTTAATGTTTATGTGTATGTGAGCCAAAAATTGATCTTTTGTCGACGTTTTTTTCAAAACCTCGACATGCTGCGCTGGTTAAACTCGATTTTTTGAGCACGGTTTCGCCAAAAATTTTGAACCTATTTTGAAAATGTAAAATCTGTCAAAAAGATATCAATAAGGAGTCGTGATTAGTTTTTAGTAAAGATTGGCCGGGCCGTTTGTAATTAATTAATCGTAAAATTTTTTTGACGGTCTATATATATACATAATATACTAATATTATAGGCATATCAAATGTGGCAACTCTTATTAGAACTCTTTTTAGAACATGAAATAGAATCAAGTCTATTACATAAATTAAATTTAATTAATACAATTACAAGTATTATAATTTTGTTTGAAAGATATCAATGGAAATCGCATTGGTTAGTTCTTAGCGAGACGTGAAAATTTTATTTTTGAAATAAACAGTTGAAAATTTTAAATGTTGCTAAATTCGGATCTTATTCAACTAGCCAATTATATTCATTTAAGCTTGTGGAAGTTGTGTAGATAAAACATTTATTCGTTTAAATATTGTATTTGGTTAAATAAAACCAACAAATAATTGTAAATACGAAAAAGGATAAATTTTGATTCGACTAGTATTTACTATTAATTACTAATTAAAGTAATATACAATTAGTTTGCTAGGTACTTTATTATTATTTTTATTTATATTATTATTATTATTGTAATTTTTTAAATAAATAATAATCAGTAAATTTATAAATTTACACAATATCAGGTCAGCAGCTAGAGACAATGAGTTAGCATTATATGCAGCAGAAATGAAAAGGAGACCTCTCATGATATCAACAGGAAATCCATCTAATTCTGGACCAAAGGACAATAATAAGAAAAATGTCAGGAAGACAAACCAACAAAATAGGTACAATAAAAACATATTAAATTTACATATTTCATTAATATATTTCTAGTGTTTTGTCATGTTTTTATTGTATTCACAAGCCATTGCAATCAAAATACAGGAACTAAATATGTAGTGTCCTATAATATAATGAAGATTCGGATGTAAACCGAAAGCTAACTTTTAATTTTAGTATTTATGTTTGTTGCATTATGCATTTCGACAGCTTTCTGTATTGTATTGGAAGTTTTTCTTTAGAAAAATTTGGTTTTACTATACAAATTAATATTGAATCATATCACCTTCTATGCAGTAATTATAGCATTGCCTGATTTACGACTGTAAATTGTGCAATGATAAACAACTGAATTAATTTCACTATACTTGATTTGTATGGTATCTCAGATCATAATTTTCTGTTTGTTTTAAAATAGCCGTACATACAGGGACTCCGATCAACCAGATCTTAATCATGACACGACTACATCACCAGAATCTGGTGACTCATCTGGCGGTGATGAAGAAGTTGTGCTTTCAGAATTTAGCAGTTCAGAAACTGATAGTACGGATTATTCAGATTGGGTAATGGATCAGCCGGGTCAAGTGTTGAAACCTCCAAAAAGAAGTAAACGAAGACCTGTTAGGAAAATGAGTTATTCTCCGCAAAATGGATCTGTTAGTCGAAAGAGTACCCCTGTAAAACGGAAGGTATTGCGATTTATGAAGTTTTATTTATTTTATTCACTTGATAGGAATTCATTTCAAATATTATGTATTTTATTGTTTTTTAATCAATTTTTGAATAATTATATTTATATTTATATTTATTTATATTTATATTTTTATAGTTTTTTAATCAATTTTTGAATAATTATATTTATATTTATATTTATTTATATTTATATTTATTTATTTATATTTATATTTATTTATATTTATATTTATACAGCATAATTGTACAATTATAGAAATTATATGGTAGATAACTTAAATTAATATATAGTTATATATATATTATATAGTTTATATGTGTTGATATAAGTTATATTAGTTTATAGGAACACTATTTGAGTGATTTAATTTGAGAGTTTTTATAAAAAGAGTTGTTGATTTGATCAATGATGATTTTTAATTATCTAATGCAAATAGTATATAAATATGCAGTAGTAACACTTCATATGATCACCATATTATTATCTCAGTTTTGCTAAGCTTTATTTTGATATGAATTTTATTATTTTCAAATTTACAGGTACCTTCACCACATGATAAAGTAGAGATTACTGAAAAATATAAACCATCTGAATGGTTATCTGAGATTATACCTCGCAAAACACCATATTATCCCCAGGTAACACTTTATTTAATTCTTGAATCTATCTGTTTATTTAATGAAACTTGAATATCTCTAACCTTTATCAATTTATTTTTTCTCAGATGGGTGATGAAGTTGTTTATTGGGCACAGGGTTATAAAAAATACTTAGATGCAGTAGAAACAAAAGATGTTTATCCAATACCTAAAAAAACTAAAGCTTGGGAACGATCAGATAAAAGAGTTTGTAATTTCTTCAAACTTACATCACCGTTAAGTTTACTTTTTAATTTTACTTTTATATATTTCAGGATCATGAGTTTGTCAAAGTTGTTGGCATTAAATATGAAATAAAACCGCCGAGGTTATGTTGCTTGAAATTAGCCATTATTGAACCAGATGGAACTCTGACTGGAAATCATTTTACAATTAAATATCATGATATGGCAGATGTCTTAGATTTTTTAGTATTGAAGCAGACATATGATATTGCTGTCAATCGAAATTGGGGACCTGGTGATAGATTTCGTTGTATGATTGATGATGGTTGGTGGTCAGGACAAATAGAAGAAAAATGTCCCATTAGTCCATTATTTTCAGAATCATTATTTATGTCACTCAGGGTTAGTATCAATACTTATTTCTGTAGTATTAAATATATTGGTATCACCTGTATAATTGGTATATATACCCTCAACCATTCAATTTTGTGTATTGAACTGTTTATTTAAACTATTCTTTAGAGACTACAATTATTTTTGAAATAAGTTGATATGCATACATATTTACATTTGTTACATTTTTATTGCTAACAATAATCAAAAATAAATTCAAAATCTACTAGAATTAGCTAAAATTTTCTGTTGATTAGAAAGAAATTTATTTACAAGTTAATTTGTATGTAATATATTTATAGAAGTGAATTAATATACATACAATAATGTACCAGTATTTGAAAATAAACTAGTCAGGGAAGAAATTCAATATTCACAACATAATAAATTACTTATACATACTTTAACATTACATTTTTGATATTGTTTATTTGAATAATCTGAATGTATTTTCAATAATATACTGTTTCTTAGGGATAAATTTTGATCTATTCACTTTTTAAGGTTCGATGGGATAATGGAGAATATGAATACATGAGTCCTTGGGATTTAGAACCAATTAATGAAAACAGTGAGTAATAAATTTAGTTATGACATCTAAGAAGCACTGACAAGAATGTTTTGATTATAAACTTTAAAATATTTGTTATATTTCATATAAAAAATAACAAAAAAGTGCAACAGATTAAGTCAAATTTAGAACGAAAATGTAGCTATAGATAAGCACATATTACTATACAATAATTATCTATACGTCTGATGAATTTCTATATTTAACTATGTTTTGTGTGATATGTGATTATACAAATATAAATTGCAAATATTTGAAAACAATTACTCATATTGGATTGTCATTATTATTAAATTACTTCAAACTTAAATTAAATGTTATCATTACAGGGTTACCGGTGGAAGTGGGAGGTGCTGTACCAGTTCTTCCTGAAGAATTAAGAATGATTCTTTATCAACCTGCACCAGAAGAATGGCCTCGAGGAGATTGTGATGCAACGTGTAGAAGAATAATTCAAGGCTTAGATCAGGTGAATTAAGAAAAACAGCAAGTTCAATATTTTTGTAATAACTAGTTTTTTTATATAGGTTATGCAGTTATCAATTGCTGAACCTTTTATTGCTCCAGTTGATTTGAGCATATATCCATCATATGCTTATATTGTCGAGTATCCAATAGATTTAGCAAGTATCAAAGCTCGATTAGAAAATAGATTTTACAGAAGAATTACTTCAGTTCAGTTTGATGTTCGATATTTGGCAACTAATGCAGAAAAATTTAATAAAATACATAGCACAATAGTTAAACAGGCACGAATAGTTACTGATCTCTGTTTGCGAATCATAAGGTAAAAGTTTCACACATGCAGAATACTATCTTTTAATCTAAAAGTTTGTTATAACTCTCAATAAACATCAAGTGTTGTTATTTAAAGTAAACTTTTTATTAAAACATAACTAAAATTATAAATACAACTTCAGAGAAGAAGACTCAATAGATGTATCTGCAGTATATCATCAATTAATGGATACTTATCAAAGTAGTTCAGAGAGCGAAACAGAAAATGATAATGATCAAGAAGTAGTATTTGAGGATAGTAGAAAAGGTAACAAGTCCCTGACACTTGAAATTTTCCCATGTGCATGAATGTGTTATGAGCGTGATTATGTGAATCTCGGGTTAATTTGAAAATTACTGTAAATGATTCAATTTTAGTATATAAAATTTGTTCATATAACATTACAAAATTAAAAATGGTCTTTCCAATATTGAATAGATGTATCTTTCAGTTTCTAGAAGAAATTTGAGGTCTGTGACATCAGATGATTGGAAAGTCAGTTGCAGTGAATTATTAGATGCAATTTGGAAATCTGAAGATGCCGCGCCTTTTCGAGAACCTGTTGACAATATTGAACATCCTGATTATTATCAAGTCATCGATACACCAATGGATTTACGGTCGATAAAAGAAGATTTGCTTGGAGATAATTATGAAACCCCAAATGATTTTGCTCACGATATGAGACTGGTATTTACTAACTCAAGGAATTATAACACAAATAAAAAATCAAGGGTAAATATTTTTATTGAGTACAAAAAGCATGTATTTATCACACTAATTTTTTTAAATGTTATTTATTGTGTAGCTTATTTTATTTATCATTGTCATTGTGTTATTTCATTGTTAACCCTCCATAAAACCTTTCCTGAACACTTTGGGTTTTATTATGTTTGCATGTGAATAAGGATACTAACAAATTTTTTTCTGGTCATTTAATAGACATACTACTATTTAACAAGTGGAATGAAAGTTTGTGTTATTAATATAATATAACTAGGTATAAGGGGCATTAGCCTCAAGGCAAGTTGCATGAAATTCCCTTCCCGATATGTGTAAATAATCAACTTAATCAATAAGAAGGGAGATTTAGCTATTTAGATAAAAAAAATCCACTGTTTATTTCTAACATAAAGTATAACTTATTTTTAGTAAGTACTTACACCTAGTTAAATTAAAAAACTACTAGCCTTAGGACCGCAATATTTTAGCATGTTTTTTAATATCTCTAAACATAAAAAGTTTCATCAAAAACGTTACAATAATTTCAATAATTGATTGCGAAGAAACGGCCCGGCTTATCTTTACTATAAACTAATCAGCGCGCGTCCCAACCTTGAGGGACATGATATCTTTTGAACAGTTTTTAAATTTCTAAAATCGATTCAAGATTTTTGGCTAAAACGTGGACTATATGTGGATGAAAAAATTGGCACTTCTGCTAATTATAAAGAAACGACTTGGACAATTTGTCAGGAAAAAATGATAAACGCAAGTACTTGTAGAGTTACATGGAATGGCTTTTAAATAGTTGAAAGCCATTTCTGAGAAAAAATCTACGAAAATTCGGCTAACATACATGCAAACACACATACTTTTTTCAAATTTGATCTCAAATTATTCAGAATGACTTGACACATTGACAAAACATAAAATTAGCCAATCTGGCGAATTTACTGGCGAAAACATAAAGATCTCCTTCGGGAAGCTAATAAAGGTATGTTTGTGTATTAGTTCAAATTTACAATAAAAAGTTCTTTTTAATATCTAAGCAAATTGAATTAAACATAAATATACTTTAAATCTCTATATTATGGTAGTAATTATCTCATTATATCAAAATGAAAATGTTCATTTCAAAACCTCTACCAAATATTACATATAAAAAGTAACTAACAAATGCAAATCCTTTATATGCGATTTTGTTATAATTAATGCTTTACTTTCCATGTATTTCTTTGGTTTGATACATTTTGCACATAATGTGTGTGTATGTGTGCATACATATATATTTTATACATTTATAAAAAGTATGTTCTTCATGATTGCTTAGAACTCATAAATTTTAAAAGTTGGTTTGAGTTTTATTATATATTTTTTGAATTTACAATATTTTTTATTTTAACATTTTCTACACAATGTAAATAGAGTAGATTCAAAAATAATCACTTTTTTGTTAAAATATTTATTTCTTCAAATTTCATTCCATGCATTTTTATCAGGATAATTTTGAGGTGAGAGAAAACAATGTATTTTTATCATCTAGTTTTCATTCAGTCATATTCTTTCACCATTCAAGTTAATAATTATAGTTTTAAGTTATTAATTTAAATGGTGAATAATAATAATAGTCTATCTTATATATTGACCAATATAATTATCATATTAATTTATAAATTCAAATTAGTTCCTTTAGTTATGCACACTGCTTTGCGTCAAGATATTTTGCAATATTGATTATACAAAATAATTTGATCAATGCTAAATGTTAACAGATTTATGCCATGACCATTCGCCTTAGTAATACTTTTGAAACACAAATGAAACCAATATTGAATAACTACAAGTCCAAAATGAAACAAAAACGAAGACAAAACAGAACTTCTACTAGAAAAATTGTTACACGTGGTTCCAATGTTGCTGGTAAGCCTAATTATCATGAGTAGCATAGTATTCATCGTGGCATTGTATTTACAAAATTGTTTATATAACTAATTTAGGCCCTAGCAGGAGAACTGTAACGATGAGTAGCAGTAATAGTAGTTCAAATAGTGAAAGTACTAGTGGTAATGAAGAACATACAGTGCATCTTGTGGATTCAGCTTATCAAATTACCAATGGTATTACTAATGGAATTAAATCTAGTGATGAAAATGAAGAATTGCAAAATTCAGAAGCCTCAGAATCAGAAGAACAGATTAATTCTGAAAACTCTTCTAGCCGTGCAAGCGACTCCCTGCCAATATCCTCATTGAGAAGGATTGATGAAGATGAAACTGATTCGGGTTCAGGTGATGATTACACACCAAATAAGAGAACGAAGCACAAAAGACAAATCAAACATGTAAACACAAAATGCAAGTCAAATTTGAGAACTAGGGGCAAAAAACTATCTGCATCAGTGGAAGACACTGCTGAAAGTCAGTCAAGTAGCGAAGAAAATGATTCCGATGATAATAATTCAGTACCAACAAGGCATTCTAAATATGAATCTGATCATAGTTATCATATGGAGAAAAGGAACTTCAGATACATAGAAACACAAGATTCTGATAGTGATGATTGTGTGCCACGAACAAGGAGAGGACTGAAGCTTCGAATTTGTAGCAACAATACTAGCGAAGTTGATGACGAAAGTCTAAGCAATGATTTGCAACCTGGTCCTTCAGGTCTAAATGCTGTTCGAACAAGGAGGGGTAAACGTCCTCATTACAATGAAGACTCGGAAGAAGAAGTTAAACAAAATCCTGCTAAAAGAGCCCAATTGGTCCAATCTAATGGTAATGGTAACTGTATTAGTCCTTCCCAACCAACAAGTGTTAGTAGTAGAGGTCGTGTTAGAAAATTAACTGCCAAAGCCCAGGACCTGGGGATACTCAGGGACTGAAGATTTGCAAGGGAGCATAAGACTGTATATATGCACATATTTATCAAACTACTTAAAAAAAATATGAAGTAAAATGAATGAATTATTATAAGAAGATGTACAAACGGTATTATTTGTGTCAAGCAAGAGTTATAATAAATGTTTTATACTATTGCAGAAGTATAATTAATTGTATAAGTATTTTTATAAACTAGATTTAATTTGCACTGCTATTGTATCTATTTATTTTGTAACCAAATTATGACATATATCTTGTGATATACTTATAAAAAAAACTTACGATTTGTACTTTAATGCATTTTGAAAATAGTATATGATTATAATTTAACTCATGATGAAAATCATCAATTGATCATTTCAAATGAAATAAAAAACTGTATGCACGAAGTCTTAATATTTCATTGCAATGGTGTGATTTAGTATTATTTAAATTATGTGATTATTTTCAAACTAAAACATATCTACCATTTGAAGTTACTATTATAATTGTGTGTAAAATATTAATCAGGCAATAGATATTAATCCTCAGGATGAAGAAGAAATTGAGTATATAAAACTATGAATTAAAAAATAATCTCAAATATAAATTTTGAATATAAAATACAATCTTTAATTTATTTACCTAATTGTTTTTTAATACTACACTTCTGTAGCATTTGTTATAGAAAACAAAATTCTAGTGAACTCAAGTACATATAGTAACCGTAGTATAGTTATGTTTACTTATCTATGATAGTAACTTGGTATTGTTTATCTTAGATTTTATTAATGTTTTATATATGAAACAAACGGTATATTAAAAGATATATATTATACTTTTGTCAATCGCGTGTATTAATGTATCGAATGTTATCATGCAATCACATCTCATCAAGCGACTCCCACTTTTATGGTACAGGTCTCGAGTGAAAACCGTCAATCTGTCAAACTCCAGATGTCCACAATTAGATGGTAATTGGCATAAACTCGCAAATCGTACTTAGTGCCGAATTATTAACATATTTTCACAAAAAAATCGCAGTTAGTTGTCGGTTTTGCAATTGATGTTTGTCCTTCGACTTTTTTAGCTGTCAAATTCGGCGTTTTTATTATGTTTATTTTTTAAAATTAATAATTTTTTATTAAGATATTTATTTAAAAATGCACAGTTTTGCATGTAATTAATAAGATGAAATAAAATAATTAAACATTTAAAAATCTTTAGAGCGAAATGTTATATGCAAATTGAAACTTTTATCGAAGTTACGATATCGATATGTAAAACGTAGTACGAAACAAAAATTGTCTCGATCTGAATTTTGGACCAGAAAAATTATGTCGTATATCAATAGAGTTATTTAAATAATTTGTACGTTTTTTTAATCAATTGATCGACTTCTTAACAAAATTATTCAGTCTGGCCAGTCCAGGGACTTTCGTATTCGAGCGTGCGAGTCCACTTTTTTCGTTTCGTAATTGCTCTGTGTTGTAATCGCTAGAAAAAGAAGGGCGATTGTTGCTAATACGGTGCCATTGAGTGGAAACCAGCTGTTTTCATGGAAGGATGCAGGAGTTTTGTGACTGATAAATTATGTTAAGAGCCTAATTACATCCTAAAATAAAACAACTAATACAATGTTCTATAAAATATCATGTGAAAAATGGCTAGTAGAAGATCAATTTTGACAACAAATTTGGAATCCTTACCCAATTCACCCACGGACCCCTTAAGAGAATTGTTCGAGGCATGTAAAACTGGTGATATATCGAGAGTGAAAAAGTTGATAACGCCACAAACAGTAAATGCACGAGATACTGCTGGCAGGAAATCTACACCATTGCATTTTGCTGCAGGTAAAAACAGTTAACATATCCATAATGACAGCTATACAAGGCAGACACTTGGCCCCCTTAACCGCGAACGAATAATTATTCCTATTGTAATATAATTTTTTATATCTTTTTACATCTACACGTTTTTCTGGAGCATTCTGGAAATTATAATAAAACTAAGAAAAGAATTTTCCATGTCTATAAACAAATTCATGTAAAATATATAATGAAGGTTGCAATGTATTTGAAATTAAAAGCATACTTTTAGCAAATGCAATTGATTGCTCTTTGACAGTTGATGTAGCTGTTCTGCTACAACTGCAAATATAATTGACAATTTTCCTTAATAATAATTTAGTATATATTCAAGAATAGTATTAATGAATATCTAGTTAATTTTATTTCATGATTCATTTTACTTAAATGTCAATAAAACACTTCTTTGAACAAATAATTAGAGTGCATACAGTTAAAATATCAAACTTACTATTATACATTATTTCACATCATCATGTATTGTTGACATATTTTTTTGTTAAACATATTTATATGAGATAAACATTATAGAGAAATTAATATAAGATTAGTGCAGTTATTATTATTTTCTCAATCATATTTGTTGACTGGTTTTTAGTAAAGATCAGTCAAGCTTTTTCTTTGTAACAATATTTAAACCATTTTATTTATCAATTACAGTTATCAGGCAATGATATTATAAAGCGCTTTGTTTGTTCCTTAGAATTATTTCAGCATGCAATGCGTGTAATACATAGACCTTATATTACCTGGACTGCTAGTGGAGCTGATATTGCTAGTGGAGCGCATATTGAATGTAAAAAGATGTTCTCTGTTGAGAGGGTAAATGTCAAGATAGATTAAATAAATGAATGCTTTGTGAGTATTGTAGGAGAACGGGAAATTCGATATTAATCGATATACAAAATCGTGGATATCTTTTATATCCTTCAAATGAAATGTTGAATTTATGTTTATATATAGAAAGTATAATTTGAAATTCCTTAAATTTAATGTACAAAAATTAATATGATAGCATGATTCTTCGAAAGTTGAATGACTTGGGACTTATGATCATGATCTTAACAACTTTGTTACAAAAATGTACTTAACAATTAGAATGCACCATGTAGAACATAAAAAAGCAAAGTTGATAAATATGTATGCCACTTTCAAACGAAAATTGTGATTTTTAAACACCAATTCACATATTATAAATAGTCAACTGTATATATACATGTATTACATTTAAAAAAAATATTTCATTATTTCTTTCTAACTTCCCATAATAACTCTAGCCAACTGTTCTTATTTTTAGTGAATTTTATAACATATAATTTTTTTTTTCTAATTTTCTGTAAACACATTGTATAACTCAAATAAATAAATAAATAATTCATTACATTCATTAGTTGTATACTATATAATATTTCCAACAATTTCAAACACACGGTCTTTCATTTGACGTTAAAGGGATCGAGAGCATTCAACTATTCTCGGCAACGCTCGTGTTCGTATGCATTTATTTAATCTGTCTTGACGTTTCTCGGCGGCACATTTACCCTCACAACAGAGAACATCTTTTGACATTTTTTTACCTGAGAAATGTATGGGGACTAGCAGTCCATGTAATATAAGGTCTATGGTGTAGTAAGATAAAAACTAAATCTAAATTTTTGCGGTGCATAATGTGAAATTTGTTTTGACAGGATATGGAAGGAGAGATGTTGTGGAGTATTTGTTAGCAAATGGAGCATCAATTCAAGCTCGTGATGATGGAGGACTACATCCACTGCATAACGCATGTTCTTTTGGACATGCGGATGTGGTGAGACTTTTGCTGGAAGCTGGGGCTAATCCAAATACTAGAGATAATTGGAATTATACCCCTTTGCATGAAGCAGCTATCAAGGGAAAGATAGATGTGTGCATAGGCGAGTTTATTTATATTATATGTAGATTGATGTTAATATGTTATTGTTTGTTATTATAAAAAATTAGTTTGTCATATTAATTTATTATCCATATTTTGATAATACTTAAAAAAGTTGATATTTATAGCTCTTTTGCAACATGGCGCTGATATAAGTATCCGAAATTCTGAAGGTAAATCCGCATTAGAAGTAGCAGATTCGATTACAAGACCGGTATTGACAGGTGAAATTTAATTTTTGGTTATATCACATACATAATGATTTTATCATTAGGTTCGATTACACATGACAAAATTAGCACTTTTGATTTTTTTCTGGGACTTTTTTTTTAAATCCAATTAGAATTGTACGCTGATTTCAAATATAGTTTCCATTTTTTCGTAACAGCTCCAGTTTTCTAGTTTTAGGGAACTTCCCTCATGAGTCATTTTGGCTATGTTTATTGCAGTTTAACAAACAAGTAAGAGTTTTATCTGCTGTTGTGTGCATAATTCAGACATTTTTTGTTACATCCTTGGTGAATATGTTTTTGACAAATGCGGAAAATCTATATCAAACTGCATAGAAATGGTGTATTTCAACCACTTTAAAATTGAAATTGAATTGCACAATCAAGATGAAGCATGGGTTTTTCATACTATGTGCCAAAATTGCGTAATGTGTTATATTAATATCCAGAAAGAAAAAAAATGCTATGATTTTAGTACCCTGGTCATTCAAGTTTTTTGAAAAATCTTGAAAATATTAGCGAAGAGCAGGGCGAGAGCATCGACCAACACATCGTGACTATAGAGTAGCGATATCAAGGGAGGTGAGACGTCCACATGATGACTGACAATTATTGGAGATCAAGAAAAGATCAGACAGGCCTTGTCCATGCTCAAACATTATATAAAAAATCCTTTGAAGTCATAAAATAAAATATATGTACTTTTTATTGTAATATGGGGTAAAACTAGCACATTGGTATATCTCAAAAACTAGAGCTGCTAGAAAAGATCTATTCTTTTTTGGAATCAGTGTCCTCGAATTACTCAAAAACCATCATAACATCTCAGGAAAAAAATTTAGTGTCACTTTTATTCATTTTTAGTGACACATTTATTCCCATTGTTTTTAACAAAATTGTTTTCTTAATTATATTATTATTAAAAATATAATGTATTTAAAATCGTTTTTAGGAGAGTATCATAAAGATGATTTGCTTGAAGCTGCTCGGAGTGGTGCTGAGGAACGTATGCTGAGTTTATTAAATCCTCTTAATGTCAATTGTCATGCTAGTGATGGTAGAAGGTCAACACCATTACATTTAGCCGCTGGTTATAATAGAAACAGAATTGTGCAGTTATTGTTACAACATGGGGCTGATGTACATGCAAAAGATAAAGGGTGGGTTTTATCTCTTTATGGTTCTTCGAATATGTTTGCTCTTTGATGGTGTAGATGTGACATAATCAATATTTTATGGAATTTTATATCTTATTTAAATTTTAACTTTAATATTCAGTGGTTTGGTACCTTTACACAATGCCTGTTCCTATGGTCATTTTGAAGTAACAGAATTGTTGATAAAACATGGTGCTAATGTAAATGCTAACGATCTATGGGCTTTTACACCTCTGCATGAGGCTGCAAGTAAGTCACGGATTGAAGTCTGTTCTCTTCTCTTGAGTGAGGGTGCAGATCCTACACAACTTAATTGCCACAATAAATCAGCTATTGATGTTGCTCCAACAAGAGAACTTCAAGAACGTTTATCACGTAAGATGTCGCATTATCATTTTAATCTATTGATTTGGTGTTTTTCATAAGTATATTCTTAAGTAGCTTTTATAACTTTGAATAAGTAACTTATGAAACCCTGGAATTTTGATGTGGGCTAATTTTTTTTTTTATGTTTTTTTTTCTAATATTTATTTGTTTTTCTTTTTGAATGTTAAATAAATTGGAAATATAATGAACAGCATATAAAGTAATTATTTAAATGTTGTTATTTTGATATGTAGTAAACATAATATTTGCATTTATAAACTCTTATTGCAGATGAATTTAAAGGACACTGTCTTCTTGATGCATGTCGTCAATCTGATGTAGCAAGAGTCAAAAAGCACTTATGTAATGAAGTAGTCAATTTTGTGCACCCATACTCTGGGGATACACCGCTACACATTATTTGCCAAAGTCCATATCCAAAACGAAAGCAGGTAAATTTTTATAAAACGTATTGAAAATTAGAATGAGAAATTTATTTTTATTTTAAATAATGAAATTTTAAATCGATTTGCCTCATTTAATATAGAAATATTGATTTGGTAATGTTAGTTTTTTGGTTTATAAGTGAAATCGAAATAACAATGTTACTTTTAGTATAACGTACCGGCGACATTATTCTAATACATATATATATTGTGCTCAGTAGAGTCTTTTCTTTGCAAACTCTTCTCAGGACTTCTTTATTTGTTATTTTGTCTGTTCATTTGCCATCCAGCACCACAATTTGTTATTTTATCTTCTCCATTCTCCTCCAGCACCACATTTCACAACTCTCGAGGTAGTTCTTCTTCTCGAGGCCTTTCTTAGAGTTCATGTCTTAGATCCGTACAGAGCTATGCTCCAGACGTTGAACTTTATTAGTCTCTTCCGCAAGTCGAGCCTCAGTTTTCTCCTCAGAAGCATTCTCTTCTTTGTGAACGCCGCCTTGGCGCTTGCCACCCTTGTCCTGATTTCTTTCGTGAATTAACAGTCTCTGGTCAATATGCTTTTGGGGCATTTTTGGGGTCTTTCAATTCTCGATTTCCTTCCGTTATCCTCAAGGGATCTTTTCTTTTTGTGATTCTCATCACTTTCGACTTGTTGATGTTGATTTCCATTCCGTATCTTCGGCCCATTTCGACGATTCTACTCATCATGTTTTGCAGCTCGGTTTGGTTTTTTGATATCACCATTAGATCATCGGCGTACTTTATGGTGGTGATTCTTCTCCCTCCAATCGAAAGGTCTTCTGCGCTTTCAAGTGCCTCGTTGACGAGCCATTCTCGAGACAGAGTCAACCTTTACTTTCTGTCTCATACTAGCCTGCAATCCCTCCAATCGACGTTTATAGATTTTAAAATTCCCATAAGCTTATTCCAGTTGACTCTGTCAAAAGCTTTCTGCTAATCTATAAAACAGAAGTATATGTCCTCGTTAACGTCGAGACATCTCTCCGACATTATTCTCAATATTCCAATAGCGTCGCTGGTGCCTCTTCCTTTTCGATCTGTGCTGTTCGTATGTTTGAATATATGTTAGCAAACATACAGGTAATTAATTCAACTTTGTCATTAACCTTTTCTTAAAAAATTTTCCATAACTTTCAAAAAAAATTTCTATTATGTTTAATATCCTGTTCTGATAATCCACTCATTTATTTTTATCATTTTCATTTTGATCATATTATCATATTTTTGTACATTATTATATTTTTATTGCAATTAATTTATTATTTAAGAAAAATCTATTTTCTTTTCCTAAACATATTGTTTGCTAAAATCTCATCAAGATCATGTTTCTTGACAGATGTCCTGAAGATGGAACGTACCTAGTTCCGAAACGTCGACAGTAAACAAATAATTAAATAAAGAAATTGTTTATTAAAAACTTTTCTTGTTTTTTTATTTTTTATTATTTTTGGATTCTTGTTCGAAACTCTACAAAATATACACAAATCCAAGATTCTACCATTCAATATATATATATATATATATATATATATATATATATATATATATATTGAGTCGAGTATGGTTGCTCGGTATGGGCGTGTTTCTCGCTTCACAATGTTGCATTTCATAACTTTTAGTCAAATTAGTTTTCAAATCATTTAGTTATTCATAATTTTTTCTAAAAAAATGTTTTTCTCTAATATGTTATTAAGTTTAATTTTTAAAATAAATTTTTGTTGAGTGTTTTTGTCCTGTGTTGCTGAATGATGACACGCATCTTGTGTCGAAACGTATAAATAAAAGTTTTTATACTTTATACCTTTTTTATTTCGACGAATGGGCTGCTAGTTACTTTGAAATATGTTTCAACGTCGAAAAAACTATCAAGATATATATATATATATATATATATATATATATATATATATATATATATAATATAAACATGTTAAAAACTATGCATCTTCTTTTAAAAAATTGAACTCTTGATATTTTTAACTTATAATTTTCTATTTTCTATCACACTAATTATATTTAAAGGCTCAAAAAAAAAAAATCGATTCATAAAAAACTCCAAATAGATAGATAGGCATATTAAATAACAGTACGAGTTAATTTGTGACTTTGTGCTTGAAACCATTACAAAAAATATTGGTTGATTCAATAATATGCTTTATTCAGAATAATATTTGTTTTAGGTGTTAGAATTATTGATTCGCAAAGGTGCGCATTTGAATGAAAAAAATAAAGATTTTTTAACACCTTTACATATAGCTGTGGACAACTCCTACTTTGATTGCATTGACATATTATTACGGCATGGTGAGATACTCAATCAGGCTTAATAAAAAATATTGTTTAAGAGAAGATTTATTATTATTTTTGCATTTTCAGGAGCAAAAGTGAATGCTTTAGATGGTCTAGGACAAACTGCCTTACATCGTTGTGCACGTAATGATAATGTTCAAGCTTGTCGTATTCTTTTAACATATAACATAGACACAACGATAATATCACTTCAAGGCTATACTGCTGCACAGGTTGCTACAGAGGCTGTACTCAACATATTACATGGTATTTTATTTGCAAAATCATACGAATTAAATACGAATTTTTAAGTCATTGCTCATTGCATCTAATGCGTTCAATGTACATATTCCGCACACATATTTCTTGCACCAAGACTATTTAGAGCAAATTTTGATGGTTTTATTTTCTCTACAATATCCAATTTGTCACCTCTTATGGAGATAAACATTTGACAAATTCGAGACATCTAAAACAAGGATATTGAAAAAATAGTTAGAGAGACCACCGATAATATTTAGATTTTGTAGCAAATTTTCTCACCATTTTATCTGTCATATTCACATGGAAACATGTTTTTTTTTGTTTTGATAAACGATTATTATCACTTTATTTTGTAAGAGAACAATTAATTATAGAAAAAATTAACGAAATTTTATCTATATTAAAAAATAATTGTTTCATATCATCATTCTTTTGCTTCGTAATTAGTTTTTATTCGGTCGATCACATAATTGCAATACAACTGGCAGGTTTGTAATAATTTTGAAAATTCTCTATAAAAATTACAAAATCATAACATTGTCTGTTTTCAAACATTGGTTCTGCTGACTTTATCAAATCGCATAATGAGATATGGATAAGAATATTGGTGAAATTATTTCTACACAGTTTTATAAACACATTAGACACAAATGGTATTACATTACAAGTTAAGCTCACATATAAAATTGGAATAAATGCATTTATTTTTTCTCAAGATAAACTTCAATTGTATCCTAACACTCTAATTGAATCCAAACACTTACTTTCTATTGCACATTATCTTATATGGTACATAATATGATGAATTATATATGGAAATGCAATAGGTGCTAACTTTACTTTTATTATATCATTTATATCTCTGAAATGCTTGTACTGTCTTGTGTTGTATGATATTTTTTTGGGTAAAAAGTCACTTTCCAAATAAAATAATTTTTTTTTATGATTTTAAAAAATTTTCATTAGAAACTTTGTTTTGTCGAAAATTTTCATATTTTTTGTAAATTATTCTTGGTTATTTGGATTGAACTTCTTTACACATGGTCTTTGCAGAAATGTTTCAGAAATAGAACTCTAAAAGCTTAAAAAGTAGAAGAAAAGTAAAAGTGAAAGAAAGCTTCCTGGGTCGAATGACCCGGCATGGTAGATAACGATATACATTGAGTATTACTCGAAATAAACAAAGCAAAAAAAAATGAAAGAAAAACTATTTTACCAGTAAATTGATTAGTACAAGAAGTTCATACAGACAAATTTGCATAAACAATAAAATTATAGATGCTTTTTCAATTCAAAATTCAAAAAGGGTCATTTGACCTGCCTTTGGTTTGAATAGTGGTAATGATCATACACTGTGCTATAGTTATTATATTGTCAATTATAATAAAACATTAAAACTTCTGAAATGAAATTCTGAAATGAGAATAGTTTATGTGATACGATAATTTCTAAAAAGAATATGTAAAACAAGGTTTTGCAGACTTGATAAATGTTAAAATGGTATATGATTTTTTTCATAGATCCTCCTAGTGAACCAGCTGATTATGAATGTCAGTTGTTGGAAGCGTCTAAAGCTGGTGATTGTGATTCTGTTAGAAGATTATTAGGATTGTATCCTCACAGTGTTAATTGTAGAGATTTAGATGGACGCCATTCAACACCATTGCATTTTGCGGCTGGTTATAACAGGGTGCCTGTAGTAGAATTTTTATTGGAACATGGTGCTGATGTTCATGCAAAAGACAAAGGGTTAGTGTTTCATTTAGCTGTAATATAGTTCTCAAGTTTCTATTTTTTTACACAAATCATGATTACTAGTTAATTTCTTCTTTTTACTAAAAATGATAGTTATTTACAGGTTGATATTAATAGAAAAAATTATAGAACAAATATTCTTTAATTAATAGTTCTCATTAAAACTTTTTCAAATCTCTACAATATTCTTGTTTAGCATTAGCAATTTCCTAGCATTGAGTGTCTCAGAAAATATATTTAATTTTTTTTATTACATTTTTATGTGTTCTAATTAATTGACAATCAATAAATATTAATTTTCTATAAAATTATTTTGTGATAGAATCCAAACTTAATAAATTTAATTGCTGTTTAAGGGGTTTGGTTCCTTTACACAACGCTTGTTCTTATGGCCATTACGAAGTGACTGAATTATTAGTCAAGCATGGTGCCAGTGTTAATGTTGCAGATCTTTGGAAATTCACACCTCTTCATGAAGCTGCTGCAAAGGGAAAATATGACATTGTTAGACTTCTTTTAAAGGTATTTAAATATAATGTATAATTTGAATCTTAATTTTATATAGTCTTATAAAAAACACCTATTTCAATAAATTGAATTATTGTTTAGATTTTTTTTTTGAATTTATTGGATTTTTAATACTAATCAATAGTAACTATTTATTTAAAGGTTGGATTTCAAATGTCATGTTTAGCTTTCTATTGTATTTTTTTTTTTGTATAGTTTCATTATCCATGAGTTAAATTAAATCTGCATGTTGAATTCATTGCAAGTGCCGAATTTTGATCTAAAAAACAAATTATACATATGATTAAGTACATGTGTATTGACAAATAAATATAGAGGGATCATTATTTTTTATAGTTTCTGTGCATGATATATAAACTAATGAAACTAATATTCGTTCTCAACATTTTTTTTGAGAAAAAATTTAAATGAATAATTTGTATTCCTAGCATGGAGCAGATCCTACTAAAAAAAATCGTGATGGTGCCACGCCTCTGGATCTAGTTCGCGAAGGAGACCAAGATGTAGCTGATCTTCTACGAGGTAATACAGCTTTGTTAGATGCTGCTAAGAAGGGTAACTTGGCACGGGTTCAGCGTTTGGTTACTGCTGATAATATAAACTGTAGAGATGCACAAGGTCGAAATTCGACTCCTCTTCATTTAGCAGGTATACTTCACTATTTTATTTAATTTCACTCACATTGTATTGAGGCCAGAACAAATATAAATTTTAGAAAATTGAATTCAATGAATTGAATGCAATTCTTTATTTTTTATATTATTTTACTAGATTTTTAGTGGTTATTTTAAAGACTTCTTATGGTTCCATTTATTATTGCTTGAAGCTTTGACTAAATATTTGAAATTTGTTAGTCAATGGCTAAACATGGTTATTCTACATAAATATATTCTAGCCCTCAATCAGATTTGATGTTCTCTTTCAATGTCATACCTAATATTTTTAGATAAATAATAATAAAAAGAAAAGTAATTTTAATATGTCAGTAGTCTATTTTATGGCTAGTGAATATCTTATAATGAAATATCATATCAATAAGTTTTAATTGATTTTAAATATTTTGAAAATACTAATAAATTTCTTTTCATATTGTATATCTTATTACACGATTCAACTTTCATTTTCTTTAGTTATTAAAATTTTGTAAGTCACTTTCTAGTATTTGCAACCTCATTTAATCTACTACCATATGAAATAAATATTGATTTCTTATTAAACAATTTAATTTTTACTTTAATGGGAATTAATGGACATATATGGGCATACGGATTTATAAAATTTGTGTATATAATTCAAAATACCTTAACACATATTGCAAAAATGTTGGATAACTGAAAATGTTTAGTGATTTGGTGCTTGTATATTTGCATGTACAGCTATAGTTTATTTGGCTTGTAAGTAACAAATACTTTAGAAATGAATGAACCATACTAATCGTTTATTATCAATCTAGAAATTATCAATTTGTATTGCTATTTATAAACTAAATACATGAATGTTTTGTGATGTTTAGCTAAATCATGAAAATTAGTATTTAATTTTTGTCAAATTGTTAACACAATCTGCAATTTCGTGTGCTTTGTGTATGTGTGTGTAAGTTTTAGCTGAAGGAGTATCATTGATATATATTTATTTCTTTTTCTAGCTGGATATAATAACTTGGAAGTAGCTGAGTTTTTGTTAGAACATGGAGCTGATGTCAATGCACAAGATAAGGGTGGTTTAATTCCTCTACACAATGCTTCTTCCTATGGCCACTTAGATATTGCAGCTTTGTTAATAAAACATAATACAGTGGTTAATGCTACTGATAAATGGGGATTTACACCTCTGCATGAGGCAGCACAAAAAGGAAGAACACAATTATGTGCTTTGTTGGTTAGTCAATATTTAAAATCAGTAGAATATCTAAGCAATATATGCATGTACATTTTGGAATGATATATATTTTGACACATAACACACACATATATATACACACACACACACACATATATATATATATATATATATATATATATATATATAGCTTGCTCAAATTTATTAATATGATTAATTGATTTAATAATTAATTGAATAGATAGAAATATATTTTTCCAATTGGGATGTTTGTAACATCTGTGTTATGCGGATAAATTATTTTTGCAGCTTGCTCATGGAGCAGATCCATTTTTAAAGAATCAAGAAGGACAATCTGGAGTAGAACTGGCAACTGCCGATGATGTAAAATGTCTGTTACAAGATGCTATGGCCTCTCAACAAAACGTTACAATTTCTCCTGCCTCGACAACAATATCTAGATCTCCTTTAGCACAAGCACCGCAGAATCAGTCTGAAACAGTTATCATGCCATCAGGGGCTGCAATAGCTCTCTCAGTTCCGGTATGTAATATTTATGTTGAAACTTTATTCAAAATTTGATTTATTTAAATTTGTTTAGCTTTCTTCACGAGTTTGCCTTAGCCCAATGCCAGAAAATGAATGTTGCTTCACAGAAACAGTAAAATCAGAATCTGCACATATCACAGATACAAGTTCATATACTATATCTAACTTCTTGAGCAGGTAAAATTATTATATTAACATGTTCTATGTAAAAGAACACATAATTTTCTTCATGAGTTTAAAATGTTCCAGAAGTTATTTCTTATAATTATTCAATATTTTACATTAGATTTGTCAAGTATTTAATTAATTTTTAAAACATTATGTAAAACATGTCTTTGTTAATTAAATCTGCATTAATGCAAGATCTATTGAACAAAATTAACTTTACACTTACATGTGCATCAATTGATAATAAATAGTATTAGTAAATAGGAATTTGAACTTACTTTATCAAGAAAGTAAATAATAAACTCAAGCAGATTTTTAAGTATAAAATACATATATGCCCTGAATTTTGAAACTACTTAGCTAAATTTTCATTACTGCATGTATATCACATATGTTTTTTTTACAGTTTGGGTTTAGAGCAATTATTGGAATTATTTGAGAGAGAACAAATTACTTTAGATATTTTAGCTGAAATGGGACATGAAGACTTAAAACAAATAGGTGTAGCTGCATATGGTTTTAGGCATAAATTAATCAAAGGAATGTCATTGCTGGCAAACAATTCAAGTAATTAGTATTTTTTACAACAAAATATATTTTATTTTTAATAATTTATAATAATATATTTTAATTTTATATTCAGGTTTATCAGCTGGTATGAACAGTCTTCGGTCTGGAACTTTATTAATCGATTTACCATCTGATGATAAAGAATTCTTAAATGTAGAAGTTGAAATGCAAGCCACAGTTCGAGAGCATAGAGATAATGGTCATTCTGGAGGAGTATTTAGTCGATATAATATAGTCAGGGTAATTTTGATTTGCATAATTTATTTTTTTCTATGTGCCATGCACAATTATACAAATATTTCTCTTGAGAAATTTAAATAAAACTAGTTGTAAATTGTACTTTGTCTTAAGGTAAGTTGCATGAACTTTCTGATATGTATACATAAACAACTTAATCAATAAGATTTGAAATTCAGCTAGTTAGGTAAAGAGTGTTTATTTCAAAAATAAAATTTTCACTTTCACTAAAAAGTAATGATTATGATTTTAAGTTTTTTAAACAGACTTATAATATTTTCAATTGCATAAATTAAATTAATTTAACATATTTTACTTCATCTATTTTATGATTTAAAAATGTATTTTATTAAAGTACAGACATCAACTGTAATTAGTAAATACCTACCTAACACAGAAAGTACATATGCTCGGCATAGATTCTGATTAGAATCGCTTAAGCTGGCGGCGAAAACTTTGATGAATTCTTATAATTAAACTGCATAGGTTGAATGGAGGGCTATAATATTTTAGTATGTTATATCAGACCACTACATTTATCATCACACAAAGTTTTATGCAAATCATCAAAATAAATATTTCACAAATAATGACGAAGAAACAGTCCAGCAGATCTTTACCAAAAAATTAATCAGATTTATACTTTTACACAAGTATTAGAACCTTTTTAGTTTATTAATTCAAATTTTATATGTAATTTTAGTTGAGATTCAATTACCTTTTATATATTTCTTGAATTCATATTCTCAAAAATAATATTTTAGATATAAGCTCAATTTTTTTTTTTTTTTAAGATCCAAAAAGTTCAAAACAGAAAACTTTGGGATAGATATATACATAGAAGACAAGAAATTCACGAAGAGAACAGCAATCAATCTAATGAAAGAATGCTTTTCCATGGCAGTCCATTCATAAATGCAATAGTTCAAAAAGGCTTTGATGAAAGACATGCATACATAGGAGGCATGTTTGGTGCTGGAATATATTTCGCTGAACATAGTAGTAAGAGCAACCAATATGTTTATGGCATTGGCGGAGGTACAGGGTGTCCTTCGCATAAAGATCGATCCTGTTACTTATGTCATAGGTGTGTAAAAATATTATTGTTTTTTACTATTTTTAACAGCCATTGATTGATAACAATGTTTCTGTTGAGACAATTTATTTTAGAATTAATTACATTTGTTTTGTGAAAATAAATCATTTTCAATCATATTCAGTTTATACACAAAAGAAAAAAGCTATATATTTTATTTATATAGCTTTATATTTGAAGAACTACAATTTTGAAATATTAGGTATTTTATTATTCTGAATTAAAATTCTATAATTATTATAAGCATTTATTGGGGCATATGTTTGTTAGAACATTTGTATTTTACAAGCTTTATCCCCTTTTTCAAATTTTGTGTTTTCTTTTTTCTCAGATCTAATATTATATTCTTTGAATTTTGCTTGATTATAAATTAAATGATCTGATAAGCAATTTTTATCATTTATATATATATATATATATATATATATATATATATATATATGTTTAATTACATGCTATAGTGAGGAACATGAACTATAATAAACTACATGAATAAAGTTTACATTTATTTTCTTAAAATTCTTACAATTTTAGACATCTACTACTATGCAGAGTTGCTCTTGGAAAATCTTTTTTACAATTTAGTGCAATGAAAATGGCACATGCTCCTCCAGGTCATCATTCTGTAATGGGTAGACCATCAAATGGTGGATTAAATTTCCCAGAATATGTTGTGTACAGAGGAGAACAGGTATGCATTTTGTGATCAGTATAAATATTTTCCCGTACGGTAAGTTATAGCAGTTGCAAATCGAAAATGAAAATTAAAATATATCTTTATTTGAAAACCTTTTGAACATTTTTGTACACATTGTAGAAAATGGATGCATGTGTGTGTGTGGATATATATGTGTGTGTATGTATGTACGTGCGGATACAATTTTTCGTCGACGCTTTCGAGAACACTGATCAATCGATTTGAATGATTCAAAAAACATTTGATTCCTATTTCTGGCTAAAGCAGGTACAGCCGTTTCGAAGATACGCAGCAAAAAGTGCGAAAAATGGAAATTCAATTATACTAAAATATTACGGCCCTAGGACAATTCGTTTCATTTTAAAAATTTGTGATTGAAAAATAAGAAGCGTTTGTTAAATTTAGACCTCTCATCGCTGTTATCTTAAAAATTGGCAAATCGATTTGCAAAATTTGAAAAACATGCAATGAAACTTGATAAGCACTCGCGTTGGTTAGTTTTTTGATACGATCAGCTGAGCAATTTCTTTGTAATTAGCAGTAAAGTGAAATTTTTTAGCTCATATTTTAGCCCAAAATTGGGAATCTATTTTAGAAATTCAAAAACTATTCATTTGCAAGATATTATTTGGCAATCGTGCTAATTAGTTTTGGACAAAGATTGGCTGAGCCGTTTCTTCGTAATTAACTGTTGAAAAATTTTTTGGATGAAACTTTTAATGTTTGATATCATAGTCCTAAAATAACATACTAAAAGTTTACGGCCCTACGACGTTTTTCATGAAAATTGACATGGCCATAATGTTTATGAACAATATTTAAAATCATTAATATTTGGAATAATAAGCTACAATATTAGGACAAGCACGTGTCATTTAAATGTGTGAGAGATATCACACATTTAATCAATTGGAAATCGTAATGTTTAGATTTAATTAAAAGCGAAAACTTTATTTTCAAAATAATTGAAAATTTTATCTAAATATTTAAATCACAATTTTGATTGATTAAGTCAAATATTACATCTATCGGAAAGTTTCTGCAACTTGCCTTAAGGCAAAATGCCACTTTCAACTAGTTATTTTATGTAATATAAATACCTCGGCCGATCGTACTGCAAAACGAATTAACGCGAGTATTTATCGAGTACTCTGGTAAATAAGTATAAATGTTATGAAATCTACGAATTAAAATCAAACCAAATTACTTTTTGGTTGTGTCGTTGATTGAAGTATGAAAAATACCTCTTTTATGTAAAGATTTTTTTTGAGATAATAAGAAAGTCTTAACTTTCACAAATTTCAATAATTATTGTGGAAGAACATCTAATATTTTTCTTTACCCTTAATATGAAATAAATTTTAATTTATCATGTGTGGGATGTAAATGATTTTTTTTTATAAAAGTTAATTTTCATATTTTTAGGCTTATCCTGAATATTTGATTACTTATCAAATTGTCAAGCCAGAAGATACCTTTAGTAGTGGAGAAGAAGCTAGGTGATTTTCTGTACCAACTGATACTTCTTATAGTATCAGTATATTACGGTCACTATCTGAGTGGTTTTTATATTGTTTACAACAAACAAGAGGTTTAACACAGTTTAAATGCTTTCAACTTATTAAAAGTCATAAGCAGTTTAATTTATAATTATATTGAACATATAATTATTTAAATTCAAATACCAGTGCTTACGAAGATAAATAATTGAAATTCAAGTTCAATTGCATTTAATCTTAACAGTATGAGGAAATGAAGGATTATCCTATGTTTATTTTCCTTTTGTGGATTAAATTGTGATGTGTTGTGTTAACATTATATTTTGGGGTCGGAATAAAATAGTGTACCTTCTACTACACAGATGATAGCATGAAAGCATGTTATGCAGTCTGTCTTGGTGGCTCAGTGTCTTTGATTCTCCAAATCTATTCATTTTATTGCCATTGTAATAAAATTTTGTTGAATTCATTCAAGGTTTGCTGTTATTCAAATATGTTATGGTAAGCTATAATTTATAAATTCTGATGCCTTTCAACTGAACAGTATTTATTTTCAAACATTTTTATTGGTAATATGCAAGACAAACTTACATTTTTTTAAATTTGTTTATTACTGTTTAACTAATTATATACATTCTAGTTACAATTTTTTAATTAATGTAGCTTTACAATTTTTTATTTTAACATAAGATTAGTAATTACGAATATTTATTTAATGAAATGAAAAGTGATAATGAAAATATTCTACTTTAAAAAATATTTTTTATTTTTTTATTTTTTCTCAAGTTTATATAGATGAATGTGTGTGTGTATTTATGTATGCTTATATATTATATACATATACCTAAGATGTGTGTCAAAGAAGGATTTGACTTAAACGATAGTGCTATAGTGGCTCATCTGAATTGTTACGATATTAAGACCACTTTTTAGTGCTATTCTCAATTTTGTGGAGCATCTAAAACACTGGTAAAGATTTTGAGCCTTGCTTTGCTTAAAATTGCTGTAGAAAGCTCAGTGAAAGCTGATGCGCCATTATATACATGATTGGTCTAATAAGTACTCAGAAGGGGGCATATTCAATTCAAAACCATGCAGTTTATTCTTCACATTTCTGGCGGATTGGACTCTAGTTTTATTTTAACGGTGGGTTTTTAAAAATGCCTTATATCAATTAGCTATAACTTAACAGACCACTCATGTCAATAATATGCATATATATATTATACTACTGTGTGTGCATATATTTAGTATTGGGCATGAATTGGAATTTTCACATAATGTATCTTATTTTTACATAACGTAAATGTAAGTTAAAATCATGAGCTATTTTTATATATAAATCCTGATTATTCATGACATCCGACACTTTGACCTCGTGACCATTATTTGTTAGTTTTTACAAATGGTTATAAAATCTAGTCTTCCTATAACTTATTTAAATTTTTGTTCTTGAAGACTCAGAAAATGAATATTTGATGTGAATGGAATTACAATCGTTTATTCAATGGAATAATTTTAAATTTTGTACCAGAAATTTCTGTAAAAAGTATCATTGTAACTATTGGTGATGAAGTTATACAATAAATGTAACCATATGATTATGTACTTAATTTAGTGTTTGTATATAGTTTTTATATTAAAACATTAATCTTATATATTGTATTAATTAATTATTTTTACTATTCTTACAATTAGTGGTTTTTAAGAATTGACGCATTTCCTTTTATAACTTCAAGATTTTTTTTTATTTAATTTTATTATTTTGTTTAATTTGATATCTTATATTTAATCTTAAAAATAACAATAATTATTATAGTCAAGAAAAAAAAACTAAACAATGTCAAATATGAGAAAAAAACAAGTCTGTAATTGCATGTATACTATTTTCGGAAACATATGAATTAGTTTATAATATTCGTATTTAATAGATTGCAGTCTGCCCCACTTAATAATTAGCAAAAAATCTTATTCATCATAAATATATTATATTCTAATAATGTTACAAATTAAAACAAGGCGTGTAAGTGGTATTTTCCCATAAGGCAAGTTGCATGAACTTCAACATGTTAATTTATAAGTGGTTTATAAGTGTTCCGAGTTGTTTTAGGCTATACAGTTGCAGTGCAGAGTATTATAATATGAGAAACTGTTGCAAGTTTTTCAATTTCAATTTTCCATGGTAGTCATTTTGTACAAATGATTTAAATATTGGACATTATTGAATAACGAACAATCGACTAATACATACTCGAAAAATGAATACTCAAAATAGCGGTCGCTTAAGTCAAACTTCAATTAATTTTTAATTGTTGAACCAACTGTCGTAGGCACTATTATTTTAGTATGTTCATTAAGAGTAAGAACTCGTATCAATTTTTTCAGGAGCGCCGTTCAAAATTAAAATCGCCAAAAAACGTTTTTCAACAATCAGTTTGGAGGAACGACCCGTCCGATCTTTGCCAATTTTTCGTATAGTTTCGAGTTTTCAACTTGGCTCAGAACTTTTCATGGAAAAGTTTTTTTTTTGCAATCTATTAATTCTAAAGAAACGGCTCGGTCGATCGTCTCGAACTCTAAGCAACGATTTGAAATGATTAAAACAAAAACACCAACTTTCTATTCCAATGCTTAGCACTGTGCTAAATATGTGAAATATATGGAAACAAATCTTATAAGTGTTGAGGATGAAGAGACACAAGGATGGATATTATTTTATCTATGGTCCGAACTGGTACGAACTATTAACATTGAAATTGACATGCTCTGTTTAAATAAGTCTTTTTCATGAAATAAGGTTTGGGGATAATAAAAACCAAACTTATGGTTGTTGATATTAGCGTGATCCACAAGCGTAGTTTTACATTTTTTATTATCTAATTTTCCGCATTGTAATACTGCCCGAGTTTTTTTTATTTAAGTTTTGACAAGTCTGGCCAATATAAGAATAATTACAATCCAAACAATTTATTTTGTACACATCTTTTTTTTTGTTAAAGGAATTTCGTTTTTAATGTTAAAATATAAAAATTTTAATTATCTCAATAAAGAAAAAGTATTATGAATATTGTGTTTTTTTATTAGCCTTTTTGATAATTGGTTAAAAAATTTATGAAAAAAGTTTTCAGGTACAAGTGTTTGGCCATGATCTTTCGATTTTTATCAGAAGGTTCAAATAATTTAGCGACTCTGTTTTTTATAATTAGACATATTAGTATGGAGAATTATTGCCAAGTAAAATCGTTTTATAACTGATTTTATGTTTGTGTCGTGAAACAAAGGATCTAATAATAAACTAGCGTGATCTACTAGATTTAAAATGGTAGAGATTTTCATATTGAGTAAAACATGCGACTTAAAGTTGATGCTACTTTTCTATAACAATCTGTGAAAACATCAAGTTTTACGTCAAGAAAATGTAAAAAAGAATAATTTTCCAGTTCTTGAGTGAATTTTGAATTGAAGATACTATTATACCCGACCCAATATTAAATATATATTTAAAAAAAAATCCAAAAAATTTATTTTTCCAAAATTCCACATTTTTCACTCACTTCAATTTTGTTGAAAGTCCATGGTTTTTACTAATTTCAAACATGTCAATAATATTAACATTTTTCACCCACTTTAGTCTCGTGAATTAAAAACGGTTTTTCACTCAATCCAAACATGTCAAAAAACTACATTTTTCAGTCAATTTAATATTATTAAAAAAACAAAGTGTATAGTCAAAAGTCAAAGTGCAAGCAATTGTCAATTTGACAAAATATTTTTGTCAAATTTATTATTAAAAGAAAAATGAAAAAAATTATGGACAAAAATATTGTTTTTTGTCAATGATTTTTTTTTTAAATTTTCATGAACCTTGATTTAAAAGAAATTCTTTTTCCAATAATTTGGTTCAAAAAATATTTTATCAAAAATTTTTTTTCAACAATTTTTTGTCAATGAATATTTTCAAAATTTTTTATCCATGATATTTTTCACGTCCAAAAAATTATTCTGTCAAAAAAAAATTTCTCAATGATTTTTTTTTCAAATTGTTTTGTTACTGATTTTTATCATTTTTTTCGATTTTTTTTAAGTTTTTTGTCAGTGACTTTTTTTAAATTTCTTTTGTAAATCATTTTTTTTTTCAAGAAAATATTTTGCTCATAATTTTTTCATTTTTTTGTCAATGATTATTTTCAAGGTTCTTCGTCAATGTCATTTTTTTCAAAATGTTTTGTCAATATTTTTTTTAAATGAAATATTTTTTCCAATAATTTCTTTCAATTTTTTTTCTTAATGTTTTTTTTATTTTCAATAAAAATGAATTTTTCAAAGTTGTCAGTTTGAAAGTTGAATTGTTTGTCATTTTGTCAATGATTTTTTTTTTCAATTTTTTTTTTATCAAATATTTTGACATGTGTTGATTTGAGTGAAAAACCATGGTCTTTGATTTTTTGAAAGAAATAAAATTTTTGGAAAAGAAATTCAAAAAAAAAATTTTGGAAAAAAAATTTAGGGGAAACATTTTTGGATTTGGATTTTTTCCAATTTTTTTTATCAAATATTTTGACGTTTTGATTTGAGTGAAAAACCATAGACCATAATATTTGATTTTTTAACAAGATTGAGTGAGTGAAAAATGTAGATGTTGAATTGAGTGAAAAGCCATGGACCAACATTAATTGGGTTTCTTCAAAAAAAAATTTTTTTCCAAATTTTTTTTCCCAAAATTGTTTTCCCAAAAAAAAAATTGTCACATTATTTTTTTCCCCATTTTTTTTTCGAAAATCAAAGTCCATGGTTTTTTCCCAAGGGGGCTGTCAGTTTTGCATGTTGCTGTGTGTGTTGCATGTTGCATCTTGCATGGTGTATTGAGTATGTGTGAGCGAGTGAGAAGCGATCGTGTTCGTCGACTTTGAAAGACCGCGTCCGGAGTCGACTAGCGATCGCAGCGTGAATGATGAGATCGCGACAGATGTCGGACTTTGGAAAACCGGATTTCAAAGTCTTTGTCGATCTCAGAGTGAATCGATCCCACATTCCTCTTTCTATCGCACCTCGTGGCTGACATCTTATCGTGGTGAGGGAGGTCAGTTGGGCGATAACCGTTCAATTGCCAAGAGCAGTCGCCGCCTATTACTCACTTTTAAGTAATCTCCTTTCACCACTTATAAAAAGTAATCCATATTGTTGTACATGGAAATACAAGTTATTAAATTTAATTGAATAAAATGTATAGATTTATTATATATAGACTTGTTTAAACTGCACCTTATTTCTGAAAGTATTAAAACTTCGGCGATTAATTTTAATGATGTTTATATAAGTCCTGTAAAATATTTGTGTTTCGATTCTCAGATTTGCGCTATTGACTAAATTTTGTTTGACCAAAATTTTTTGTCCAAAAATTTTTTTCCCATTTTTTTTTTGACCAAAATTTTTTTGATCAAAAACTTTTGGACCAAATTTTTTTACCCAAAATTTTTTACTCAAATTTTATTTCAAATAATTTTTTTGACCAAAATTTTTTGACCAAAATTTTTTGACTAAATTTTTTTTGACCAAAATTTTTTTGACCAAAATTTTTTGGACCAAAATTTTTTTGACCAAAACTTTTTTGATCAAAATTTTTTTTTTCAAAAATTTTTTTGGCCG